TTAAGGTATCTGCTTTAGTTTCTCTGCGTTAAGGGCAACAAATGCTAACTAATTTTTTAGGTGTCTTACCTATCCTCACCCCTCCCTTGTGTGGAGTCTCCTGTGTCACTCAATGTGGCCTAGAATATTCATGGTCCTTCTGCCTCTGTCTCCAGAGTGCTGGGATTATAGTCATGCACCACCATGGGCTTCATGCAGGTCTCCTCTTCCTCTTCCTTCTCCTCCTTCTTTTTGGTAGTACTAGGTTTTGAACTCAAGGCCTCAAACTTGATAAACACATGCTCTATCACTTGAATCACATCCACAGTCCTTTTTTTTTGCTTTAGTTATTTTTCAGAAAGGGTCTCGCTTACCATGATCCTCCCAATCTCTGCCTCCTGAGTAGCTGGAATTACAGCTGTGCATGACTCCACCCAGACTTCATGCAGGTCTTCTTGCCTTGTCCTTGCTTACCTGTATTTTGCAGTTCCTGGGGCTGCCTTACCACCTAATTTTGTTGTAAACGTTGTCCATGGGGTATTAGTTTTGCTATCTAATTGTTACGTTTGTTTTCCTGTAGGAATTTTGAACAGCCCACTCTGCCACTGTCTTCACAGAATTCCAATGTTCTATAACTTCTTATGTATGAAAATTGTTGAGTGTGTTCACTTTGTAAAAAGTGACTAAGCCTTCCTATTGTGCAATGACCAAAGTAAAGGTTTTGGTCATTGTATCCTTACCACCTAGTACAGTGTTGGGGACAAATACCTTTTTCTTTGATGGACAAGTGAGTCCTTAATATTATCTGGATGATAGACAAGACAATCCTAACTTTGTGGACAAGGTGTGGGACAACATAGCTTGATCCAAAGAATGCTCAGTTTTGCAGTCACTGTAGCCCATCTGGGTTATCAGGTCCTCCTGTGGGCAGAGAGCAATTCCACGTTACGTGGCATTGCCCTCTTGCTCCCTGACTACAAATAGATTCTGCTCGGCTTTTAGCTTGTTCCCTGATGAGCTTGCACTAAAAAAAGAAGTCTGACAGGTTGAATCCTGCCAAATTGCAACTCTACACAGAAACCCCCACAGCTGCATCATGTGAACAGCTGGCTCCTCTGCATTTAGAGCTTCGAATGCACACTTGGTGTGTCCACTAGAGTTAACATGGGACAAACCGAAGAATTTCTGCAAGTTAAAAGAGTTAACAATCTCATCTACGTTATTTTGGGTCCAAATACAAAGGCTTCCCCAGACCTTAGAGCTGCGCATCTGGCTGTCTTTGCTACAAGTCACAGGAGTCTCCTCAGCTAGCTGAAGCAATGAGTTTCTTGTCACATATTACAAGGAGTCTGGAGGTGAAGCAGGCCAGGGAGCTTTAATTCAGGAGTTTGAACAGGTCACAGAGAAGGCTCAAATTCTTTTCCATCCTTTTTTTTTTTTTATATGAATGGTCTGCTCCTTGCTTTTTTCATTTGATGGTATTTTGGAAATCATTCCTAACAGGAATAATAATATGTTACCTTATTCTTCATTTTTTGTTTTGTTTTTGGTAGAACTGGGGTTTAAACTGAGGGCTGCACACTGGCAAAGCAGGTACCCTACCACTTGAACCACATCTCCAGCCTATTTTGCTCTGGTCATTTTAGAGATGGGGGTCTCACAAACTATTTTGCTCAGGATGGCCTCAAACCAGGATCCTCCTGGTCTCAGCCTCCCAAGTAGCTAAGATTACAGACATGAGCCACTGACATCCAGCTTGCTTTGTTTTCTTGAAGCAGGGTCTTGCATCTTTTTGTGTTTCTGGACTTTCTCCTCCTCCTGGAATTTGTCCTGTGTCCTCAGCTCCCAGCATGGTGTATGGAAAACAGCACATTCTGAATACATGGGTGCCTCTGACCACAGGAACTTCTACCATATTACTGGGAATTATTCCTGTCTGCTTGATGTGACCAGAAGGTACTTCTTCTAAGCACCTTTAGAAGCCTCAAACTTGGTCTCTCAGGTAACAATTCTGTGGATTTGGGTTTTATTTCCTGTCAAGTTAATGCATGTAAAAATACTTAAAACAGTGCCAGGCAGTTAGTAAGCACTCAATAAATGGTGATTGGCCTGGTGAGTGGCTCAAGTGGTAGAGTGCCTGCCTGGCAAGCATGAAGCCCTGAGTTCAAACCTCAGTGCCACCAAAAAAAATACATTTTTAATGCTGATTATTTTTAAAATTATTATTTCCACCAGCCCAACCACATCCCCATCAGTCCACACCCTGTACCGGGCTCTTTATCTCTCTCTTCCCACCAGATAATGTGGCCTCCATCCCTAGAAAACATCCAGGTCAGAGCACAGGCTTCAATTTACCAATTGTGTGACCTTGGAACAGTGACTTAACCTCTTGGAGACTCAGTTTCTTCATTTGGAAATTGGGTGTTATCTTAATATTTGCCTCTCTAGATTTAAAAGCGATATTTAAATTGACACATAAAAACTGTACATAGTGATGCTTCAACACGTCTACATTACATAATGTTCAAATCAGAGTTAGCATATCTATCTCCTCCAACATGGGTCATTTCTTTGTGCTGAAAACACTGAAAATCCTTTCGTCTAGCTTACTTATTTATTTATACATACATTATCACCTCTCAGGGTTGTTACAAAGATTAAATGAGATACTCCATGCACACACTGAGTACCAAATTGTCAGGTAACTGAAGCACTTCTGAAGGTGAGGGGTGTGACAACAGAGCCCAATCACAAATTGTACCCCAGGCCCAAAACCACTTTCTAGCTCTTAAGTTATATTCCAGGACTAGCTGTTCTTAGTTTCTTATGAGATGTCCATTGACCTTCCTGACTTAGAATATACTGCTGTCATCAGGATCAACCTATGGGGTTGGGGAATCTCCATTCCTTAGCTGAGGAGACTTACTAACACAAGATTTAAGAAGCATCCAATTGGGAGTGTGGGTCAGTGGTGGAGCATTTCACTGGCCTGCACAAGGCCCCAGGTGAGATCCTCAGCACCACAAAGAAGGAGAAGAAGGAAATCTTCAGATCATCATCTGAGGGATCTGCTCACTATTCATGCATTCACTCCACAAACCTCCTGTACTGAATTAGGAACCACAGTAGTTGGAGGAATCCCTAAGCAATCCTCTGTAAGTTTTGAGATTGGAAAACAGTTATAGAATAATATAGTGACTGATGCAACAGTTCACCCAAGATGCAAGGATGGAATAGGGTTTCAGAAAACTTCTCAGAGGACTAAGTCTTCGCCATGAAAACAAGGGAGGTGTTGAGAACAGCAGAAGGAACAACACGAGAAAAGGCATGAGATCTGAAATAACTGGTTAGGTTTAGGGAACTCTGCTAAGCAGAAAGGGGTAAATCACGGAAGGTTAAAAACCTCAGAAAGAGATTGGAAGAATAGAGGCTTGAGGCCAGTCCAGCAAAAAGTTAGTGAAACCCCATCTCAACCAATAAGCTGGATGTGGTGATACAGCTGTCATTCCAGCTATGCAGGAGGATTTGCTATGTAGGAGAATCTCCACCTGAGGCCAGCTCAAGCAACAATGCAAGACCCTAACCAAAACTCACTAAAGCAAAAAAGAGCTTAAAGGCATGACTCAATTGTTAGAATACCTGCCTAGCAAACGTGAGACCCTGAGTTCAAACCTCAATACTGCTTAATTCATTAATTTAAAAACTCAGGAAAGGAGCCTTGCTTCAGGCTATGATAAATAGCTAGTATCCAAATAGCTATATTAATAAAAACAAGTATTAAAGCTAGATAAAATGTAAATCACAACTGTTCAAATACATTAAAGAGAAACCAAGGCAACCAGAAACTGTGAGACTAACTTCTCAGAGAAAGGGAGAAAACAGAAAGAATAAAAAGCAGCCAGGCATGGTGGTACACACCTGTAATCCCAGTTACTTCAGACAAGCAGATCATGGTTGGAGGTCTGGGCAAAAGTTAGCAAGATCCTATCTCAAAAACAAGCTGCTAGACTAGTGGGAAGGTTCAGGTGGTAGAGTGCATGCCTAGCAAGTATTAGACCCTGAACTCAAGCCCCAGAACCATCTTAAAAGAAAAAAAACAAGCTTGGCATAGTGGTGTACCCTTGTGGCTACTCAGGAGGTGGAGGTAGGAGGATCCTGGTTCAAGGCCAGCCTGGACAAAGTTAGCATGAGACCCTGTCTGAAAAACAAACTTAAAAAAACAAAAGGACTGGGGGCATGGCTCAAGTGGTATCTCACTTGCCAAGTAAGCAAGAGGTCCAACATTCAGTTCCCAATATCAAAAGAGAAAAAAAGAAAGGAATAAATGAAAGTCAGCAGAAATGATAAAATTCATTGAAAAATGACTTTTCAGAACAATAAAGGTGACTTAGTATGAAGTTTATAATACATTACAATAAATACTTGACAATAATAGCATGAAAACCCAGAGAATACTAATCTGAATTAAAGTGCTTTAAGGACAATAATAGAAATTAATGAATTATAGAGGATGAAAATGGGGTAATCAGAAAAAATATTGACTGATATAAAAGGGAGCAAGGAAGGATAAAAAGCAGATTGGACAAATAGTAAAATGATATATTTCAAACCCTGGAACATTGGTAGTTACAATAGTATAAATCAAATAAATATTTCAATTAAA